TGTCATTTTCTGTGTCATTATATTTTAGTTATTTCTCCTGTAAACACATATATAGCTGGGTTTTCTCAAAGTTACTATTTTGAATAATTTTAAATGTGCAGAAAAGCTGAAGGAATAGAACAACAAAAAAAAATGTTTATCTTTCCCCTAAATTCATCAGTTGTTTATATTTTGTCGCTTTTGCTTCTCTTTCTTACAATTACCCAGTTTATCACATCATAAATATTGCACAATTATTTTTATTGAACTCTTTGAATGTAAATCACAGGTATCGTGATACCTTACTCTAAAATTATTTATGCTAAATTGCGTGCATTCCATTATATAAATATATACACAATATTACAAATGCATAAGCACACACACTCATATATACACATTTTAATCATTTAACATTTTATTGCTGAGTAATTCATTGATGGGTATATCACAATGTGTTGTGATAAAATCAATTCACCTCTTGAAGGACATTTGTGGGTTTTTTGTTTTTTGTTTTTCAGTTTTGGGCTACCACAAATCAAGCTGCTGTGAACATATGTGTACAAGTCTATATACGGACAGTGCTATTTTTTTTCTTTCGGGTATATACCTAGGAAGTGGAATGCCTGGATTCTATGGTAGGTGTATTAAAGAAATTGTCAGTTTTCCAAAATGCTTGTATCATTTCCATTCTGCCAGCAGGGTATGAGTGTTCTATTGCTTCCACATCCTTGCCAGCACTTGCTTTGATCAATCTTTTTAGTTTTAGCCATTCTGATAAGTGTATAGTGGTACCTCACTGTGATTTTATTTTATTTTAAAGTTTTCATTTATTTAGGTAATCTCTACACCCAGGGTGGGTCTCGAGCTCATGACCCCAAAATCAAGAGTCCCATGCTCTTATTTTAAATTAAATTACCCTACTGACAAATGATGATGAATATTTTTTTCATGTTCTTATTTGCCACTGATATATCTTCTTTGGTGAGCTGTTGGTTTAAACCTTTTGCCTACTTTATTGGTTTGTGTTTTGAGAATTCATTCCATTAAATTTTAACATGCGCAATAGACTAAAACTAATCAATATCTCTTGTTTACCTCCTATAAATAAAACTCTGAACTCACCCTCCCTGTTTTAGGTTTTTGCTCTTTGGGATTTGAGTTCCACTTTGTTTTATTTGTCCATTTGTCTATTTCTTCCCCACCTGTCCATCCCATCTCTAACCTCTCCCTTCTCTTCTTTTGGAACTCCAGTCAGAAATGTTTTAACTTTTCAGTGTATTCTTCATGTCTCTTACTTAATCTTCACCTTTTCCATTTCTTTCTATCTCTGTGTTGCTTTCTGGAGAATTGCCTCATAGCCGCCTTTTTATCTATCCCTTTATTTCTCTTGAACAATTTTACCTGTTCTAATTTTAGTGACTATTGTATTTTTCATTTGCAGAAGCTTCTCTTTCAGATTTATTTTTTTTCTTAGTGTTCCATTTCTAGACCTTCTTTTATTTAGTTGTCATAAATGCATATTGAAAATTACTCATATTGGCCTGTTGTTATCTGTAGTTTTTTGGTTCTGGTAATCCTGTTTGCACATCTGCTAACTCTCTCACATGGAGAGTTGTTTCCTCAGATCTTCGTAACTCATTTATTGTACATGTATCTTCTGTGGGTGTTGTCCCACACCTCGGTAATTCTCCTGGGTAATACCATGTGTCCTTCTTGTGAAAGTGTCCCTGTCTCTAATTCTGGCAGGATCTCAGGGGTTTCAGTGGTCCTGAATCAGATCTGGTGCTAATTTCTCTCTTTGTGGCTCCCATACAGGGCAGATGACATAAATTTAGGTCACATCTCTGGCCTACACTCGGAGTTTGGTTTCTCCCAGCTGTCTTTTTATTTCTTTCTACTTAAGGCTTCAGGAAAAGCATGAGCTTCCTTGAGGGCCCCATGGTCTACAGCCTGGAGATTTTTCTGGTTTACTTGGAATGGAAGGGGCAGAGCTGGAGGGATCCAGGCTTTATGAGGGTGTCCCCTGTCCAACCTCCCAAGTCTTCAGTCCTTGTGTGAGTATTAGAACCCCAGCCCCAGCCCCTGGGGCGTCAGTCTGTTTGGATTTCAGGAAGCTCCAAATATATTATTCCTCTCTTCCTCACCAGTGCTCTGAATCCATGAGCTCTGAGCTCCAAATCCATTTAGATACACGCTGAAGTCTGACAATGGAAATTAGCATTTCCCCTTTATTACAATGAAGCAGAGGCAACCAAAGAATTACCACACTGCCTGAAACCAAACTTGCCCTCCAGGCACAGGCAGCAGTAAAAAGTCTCAATTCCAGTCCCACAGCCCACGCTCTGGAGTTTACTACATAAACTAGGGCAGATAAAAATGTGTATTTTCTACAAGTAGGAGGAGCCAGAAGGGGTTGATCTGGGCGTATCTAATAGTTCCTGTTCTCAAACTCATCAGCCATTTAAATCACACATCTCCTGAGAAGGAGTGTGTGAATGAGTGAGGCCAGGAGGATTACTCTAAAGGAGGGAAGTTCCTCCACCGAGAAATTCGGCCTGGGGGAGTGTTGGCGGGGGGAGGGGGTAGTCAAACCCTTCTAAAGATACCCCTTGTGCTTGCGTCTCTGGCTTTCATTCTATCTTCCCTTTCTGAAATCTGGTGCATACTCTTCCTTTATTTTCAGCTAAACTCTATATTTAAGACTATTTTGGTATATTTTGCCCAGAATTCCCATGTTTGAGGCCAGGAGCTTCAGCTGTCATGTTGTTGGAAGTTCTCTAGAGAGTGTTTTCACAAAGGAAACAGGATGGCCTATTAAAATAGGCAAGTCCTGAAGGAGAACAGGCCCTTTTAGACCTTTCTCCAAGCCTTTTCTAGGTTTCTCTGAGGCTGCACAAAATAAAAGCTATTTGCTTCTTTCCTTCATAAACTGTAATAAAGTAAACATGTGCATAAACCTCAACATAGCCAAATGTATGTGTGCTTACCTTCCGAGTTTAGTAGATAAACACACTTTTAAACATATGCAGTACGTGCAATTTGAATTTCTGGCCTTATATCTCCTATTTCACAAAATGCCATTTACATAACATTTACGTAGCATTTAACATAGCATTGAAACATTGAAGCATTGCAGCTTCATCAAAGCACGCCTTTATAATGGGATTCCTTGAAGATGTTTGAAAATACTTCCTAGGTAATGGGTTTTGATGAAATTTCTTTTTTCAAGCAGTTGAATTTCAGTTTAAATATAATACAGTTTTGGGGCGCCTAGGTGACTGCCGGTTAAGCCTCTGACTTTGGCTCAGGGCATGATCTCGCGGTTCCTGAGTTCGAGCCCTGCTTCAGACTCCGTGCTGACAGCTCAGAGCCTGGAGCCTGCTTCAGATTCTGTCTCCCTCTCCCTCTGCCCCTCCCCTGCTCGTGCTCTCTCAAAAATAAATAAGCATTAAAAAAACCATATATATACTATATATAATACAGTTTGTATAAAGAAGAGAGAATTTAAGAGGCATTACAAAAACAGTAGGAAAATAGGTCTCTAATCTCTTGTGCATTTTGTCTAGAACCATCCTCATAGAACAAAACTGAACCAGCTCATAACTGAACAAAACAGTAGCTTATCTGTGCTGCCAGAGCTGATCTTATTTCTCTTCTTGGAAATTTGCATGAACATAGAGTTTGCCTTAATTTCAAGGCTTTAAGTTTAGAAGGAGAAACATTTCAATATAGGAATGCAAAATACATGGACATTTTTATTGAACATGTATTTACTTTGACAGGCAATGTGCAAACATGTTCTGTGTTTATTTTATGTAGTCACCTCCTCAGTTCTCACTGGTTACACAATTCTTACCCCATTTTACAGATTGGGAAACATGGATTTTCAGAGCGTATTGACATTGTGGTGTGACATTGTTTCAACTACTTACTCAAAGCCAATTACAGGGTGCCGGTAGGACATATACTAACACCCAAAGGAGCTGAGGGAGCAAAAAGATCTTTGAGTTGCACGAAGATCTGAATTATGCAAGCAGCAGAAATCCTCGGTGGACACCATGATGCCTTTTAGATTATCTTTCACCCTCCAGGGTGGCAAATTACCTGGTAGACCCATTGTGGATTAGGCTATTAAATCCTTTTTGTGCCATGGACCCCTTTGGCCTCCTGGTGAATCCCATGCACCCTTTCTTGGCATAATGTTTTTTTTTTTTTTTTTTTAATGTTTTTTTTTTTCAACGTTTATTTATTTTTGGGACAGAGAGAGACAGAGCATGAACGGGGGAGGGGCAGAGAGAGAGGGAGACACAGAATGGAAAACAGGCTCCAGGCTCTGAGCCATCAGCCCAGAGCCTGACGTGGGGCTCGAACTCCCGGACCGCGAGATCGTGACCTGGCTGAAGTCGGACGCTTAACCGACTGCGCCACCCAGGCTCCCCTTGGCATAATGTTTTTAAATGCATAACAGAAGGAATAGAAATGACATTGGAACAGTACTCAGTTCTAGCATCTGATCCCGGAGATTTTCAAGCATTTCTGCTCTGTCCCTCTCACCTCCCAAGTGTACCAGTCCCCTCAGAGACTTTCCCTGCCTTCTTCAGAGAAGGTAAAGGAGGTACACCCAAGCAGGTTTTAGGAGTTACGGGGTGGGGAGGAGGATGAGATGGGCTAAGGAGCGGTTTCTGAGATGGCGTTAGTTTCTTCCTTTTCCCTTCCGTCTACAAGCCTCCTCACTCCCCTAGCCCCTGCATCTTGCCCGAGATCAAGTCCAGTGCTTCTCTGGCTTTACTTCTCTTCCATCTTCAAGATCTCAGGCCCAGCCCCGCCCACCTCCCTAAGCCCGCCCTTCCGTGGCCACGCCCCCTAGGCTCCTCCCTCCCCATAAATTCCTCCAGCGCCCCGTCGCGCCTCTGGTCCCTGCCAATCACGCTGGACCACCCTCTCGGCCCGCCCCAGAGCGCACACCCGGCGGGTCCGCGGCTTCGCCCGGGAGGCGGAGAAGCTGGGGCTGCCAAAAGATGGAGTGTGGTGCGGCCGGCGGCTTCTCCGAGGAGCAGTTCCGGGAGGCCTGCGCGGAGATCCAGCAGCGCGCGCCGGCAGGGGCCAACTGGGAGCTGCTGGTGGAGACCCTGGGCTTCAGCATCTACGGGCTGCTGGACCAGGTAGCGGCCGGCCAGCTGGAGGATCCCAGGCAGTCGCTTGTCGGGGCCAACCTCCCCAGGGGAAGCGCGGGGCAGCGGCCTAGGAAGTCAGGGCCGGAGTTGGTCACGCGGAGCAGGGAGGAGCGAGCGCAGGGGCAGTGCTGGCAACTGACTTTGCCCCTGCAGTTGGGAGGTCATCCGAATTCAGCCTAAGTCTGAGGCCCAGGGCGGTAGTGGTTTGTTGGAAGCTAATGATAGGGTTAAAATGCAGGACTGCAGAGTCTGAGCCCCATGCACTTGGCTGCAAGGGACGTGGATCCTCCTCCCGGGTGGGTGCTACTGATGTGTGTATGTTGGTGGGGTGGAGGGAACCTTAGGGTTTGCATACAGGTGGAAAGGAGACCAGACTTTTCAGAAACTGACTGGATGTGCAGGGTGATAGTGTGTGTGCAGAGCAGTGTGGCTGAGAAGGGAGCTAATATCATCTCAGTCATTTTAGTCATTTCATTTCGCAGCTGCCCCTTTCTTGTAAGGGGCACTTAAGAATTTAGTCTGAAGCTTTAGGGAGAAGATTAACTTAAAGGGTAGGAGGAATAGAGTTGGTTATTAAGCAATTCTCCAGGCACTCCCGGAGGCCTTTGGAATCAGGTAGCTTTTCCAGGTGGAACGATTGCGTTGTACCTGAGACCTTTCATCAGTTACAGTGAGTGATAGTAGCTGAAGGCACATGGGATAATAAATCACTTTTAGGCAAGTGAAGTGAAATCAAGGTTTACTGGCAGAGAACCAGAGTAGTATAGAGTAGGGAGGCACTCTGAACGTGTGTGTAGCAGGGCCACGGGGTGTGACAAAATGAACAAGAAGCTCACAGTCCAGCGCAGGTGGAATTAATTTCTGAGTGTAATTTCATTAGGTGCCTTGGTGCCAAAGTGGACATGTTTTCAGACAAAATCTTTTATTCTTCTGACCATTCCATTTTCCTTACCAGCCATATCCAGGCATTTGCCAAGTTTTGTCAATTCAGCTGCTCAGACAAGCCTGATATCTGGCCCCCTTCCTTTCCCTTTTCATTCCTTTGTGGTTGGCACTTTGGATGGTACCTTTCACCTAGAGTTGCAGAAGACTTCTGGCCTTCCTCCTTCCTCTCTGATCCCTTCCATCCTACACATTACAGCCTGATCAGGCACCTGAAGGAGAGGCTGTGGTCTTACCACTCCCCTTTCAGTGGCACTGTTGATTCCAGAATTAATACTATTATAATAGCTCACACACTGCATGCTGTCTTATGTTCCACGCACTGTTTAAGTGCTTCACAGGTATTGACTTACTGAATCCTCATGTCAGTCTTAATGTAAGGCACTGTAATTATCACCTTTTTACCTATATGGAAATGAATGTGTGCAAAGGTTAAGGTGATTGCTCAAGGTCTGAACTGGGATCAGAACTCACCTGTCTACTTCCAGACCTGTGCCATGAGCAGGCTCCTGCATTGCCTCTCTGAGAGAAGTCAAATGCTTCTGGGTAGACTGTACAGATCTTTCTCAACTTATGATGGGTTTACATCCTGATAAACCCATCATAAGCTGAAAATATCATAAGCTGAAAATGCATTTAATACACCTCACCTACTGAGCATCACAGTTAGCCTAGCTGATCTTAACTGTGCTCAGAATGCTGTCATTAGCCTATTGTTGGGCAAAATCATCTAACACAAGGCCTATTTTATACTAAAGTGTTGAATATCATGTAATTTTTTGAAGAGTGTACTGAAAGTGAAAACAGGATGATTGTATGGGGTGCAGAATAGTTGTAAGTGTAGTGGTTCACTGCCCCTGCCCAGCATCAGAAGGTACTATATCACGTATCACTAGCCCAGGGAAAGATAACAATTCAAAATTCAAAGTACTGTTTCTACTGAATGCATATTGCTCTTGTGCGTTTGTAAAGTCAAAAATTATAAGTTATCCTGTCAAGTTGTTGACTGTATTGAATTGCATTAAGGCTTTTTATTTTATCCTGTTTCTTTTTATTTTTTAATGTTTATTTATTTTATTATTATTTTTTTTAATTTTTTTTTTTTTTTACATTTATTCATTTTTGAGACAGAGAGAGATGGAGCATGAATGGGGGAAGGTCAGAGAGAGAGAGAGGGAGACACAGAATCTGAAACAGGCTCCAGGCTCTAGGCTCTGAGCTGTCAGTACAGAGCCTGACACGGGACTTGAACTCACTGACTGCAAGATCATGACCTGAGTCAAAGTCATCCACTTAACTGACTGAGCCACGCAGGTGCCCCAATGTTTGTTTATTTTTGAGACAGAGAGAGAGAGAGAGAGAGAGAGAGAGAGAGAGAGAGAGAGAGAGAGAGAGAGAGAGAGAGAGAGAGAGAGAGAGAGAGAGAGAGAGAGAGACTGAGTGGGGAGGGGCAGAGAGAGAAGGAGACACAGAATCCTAAACAGGCTCTAGGCTCTGGGCTGTTAGCACAGAGCTTGACTAGGGGCTCGAATTCAGGATTGTGTAATCATGACCTGAGCCGACGATCAACAGACTGAGCCACTCAGACGCCCCTCATACTTCCTGTTTGTTAATACCATCTAAAGATTTCCACTCTATTGAGATGAGTGAACTAGTTTGGTCCCAACTTACATTTCCAGCTTTATCTCCCATGACTCATCTGCACACCCCTTGTCCTCCAGCCAGCCCAGAGCACTCTACCCTTTACTCCAGTGAGCCAGTGCTTTCTTGCTTTTGTGCTTGTAAGCTGAGACAGTGCCTGGCTTTCTATTGTGTCTTGTTTCCATTGTGTATTGTTACATCGCAGGGCCTGCCTCCCTCCTGTGGGGAGGACATGAGTGGTATTCAGAATAGTTCCTATCCCTACTAACAATACCGTATGTCTTATTTCAACCTGTTGAGGGAAAAGGGCAGTCATGGTACACTGATGTAAATTACAGGTGTTCCCAGGTAACTTCTTTAAGTTTAAAGGGCATGGGATTCCAGTAGGTGTGCCCTGAGCCTCAGCAGCTAGGACAGAGGGCCATTGCTCCATGGCCACTTTGTTCTCCATCTGTATTAACAAATGTCAGGAGGCCCTACTGAGTTAGGGTATAAGCCCTTTCCTAGAACCCTTCCTGGGTTCTAGCATTTTCCAGCATTATTTGCTGCCTGGCCCACTTTGCTAAAGCCTCATTTTCTTTCCAGTTTGACTCCATGTTTTGCCTTCTTCCCGGAAGAGAATTCCCTCTAATTTCCAGTTAGTAAATCTTTCCATCCGAATACCATACCTTATCAAAAGTGAATTCACTTGTCCCACATTCTGCATAGACCTGCACCTATCTGCCCCAAAGCCCTTTTCTGTCTTGTGGGCCAGTGGTGTTTAATCCACCCTGCATGTTACCATTATGTGTCTTTTCTTCCACCAACCCAAACCATTTTACACACATGAGTGTATATGGCCTTGGGTCCTCAGGTCCCCAACTGGGGGCTCAGACCAGAAGACCTTGGTCCTTCTGTTAGTCTTCATCTTGATTAATCTACTTGACTATTGCTGCAGGTGAATCCAGGTGAGGTTAGGTATTTCAGTCTTTGCTTTCTGGCTTTTTAAATTCCAACAACTGGGGTAAACAGAGTGGACTTGTTTGGAGCCCTTTAATGTTGAAGGGCCAACAGGGGGTACGACTGGTCCATCTACCTTTAGGTAGTGCTACTTTTGCCTCAACCCCATCAACATTTGCTTCATTCATCCTGTTTCTTAATAACCATCTAAAGATTTCCACTCTATTGAGATGAGTGCTCTGATTCTCCCCTCTCTTTCCCCATTTTCTTGTTAGTCTAATTTTTCTTGGCATCTTTAAGACCCATATAAGGGATACTGAGATAGGTAATCTGGTAAGTCTTCTTGGATTGCTCGAATTTTGCAGCAGTAAGGTTACACATAGTACCCATGCAAAGGGGACCTCCTCTATCAAAGTATTTACCATGATTTGGCTAAAAAGCATATTTAATAGATGAATATCTCCATCATGATAAAGCCAGTCCAACATGACTTGCATATAAAGCATATTAGTGGCCTCATGGGGTGGGGTAGGGAAAAGCAGGTAACACTAGGAATTTTTATGATAGGAAGAATCGGGCAGCCACCCTTCTCAGTGTAAACAGATTTTGCAGTGGCTTTTATCCATTCCACCAGGTTGACTATTCCCTTGGGAACAACCTACTATGTATCTGGATCATGTATAGACATTTATGTTAATCCACCATGAACTGTGACGATGATCTATTATTGCATGTTTTGAAAAGACTGAAGTGTAGGGGCATTTTAGTTATCTGGTGTAAAAAATAAATTATATTAAATTTAAAAAAAGGTTGTAGCTTTTTCTGTTTATGTTTTTTATTTATTTTTGAGAGAGAGAGAGAGAGAGAGAGAGAGAGCGAGAGTACACAAGCAGGGGAGGGACAGAGAGAGAGGGAGACACAGAATCTGAAGACAGGCTCCAGGCTCTGAGTAGCTGTCAGCACAGAGCCCGACGCGGGGCTTGAACTCACGAACCGCGAGATCATGCCCTGAGTCGAAGTTGGAAGCTTAATTGACTGAGCCACCCAGGCGCCCCATAGATGGTCACTTTTGATATACAGTATTTTGATACTTTTTCATTTTCTCTTTTTCTATTAAATCACAGGTTTTTGACTTTGAAAGTTTCTTTGAAACCATTCTGTTCAATGCCATCATCTTTTTCATTCACTTCTTTTTTCTACTTCCTTTGCCTTTTGTTTCCTTCCTCTCTTCTCTTTTTTCCTCCCCAGGTTGTAATGTCAATAACTTACCATTACATAGTGATTTAATTTACAAAATGCTGTCACGTGTAAGTTGCCTTTATCCCTGTAAACAAATCTGGAAGATAGGTAGGGACAGGCCTATTTTCCTATTTTACAGATGGAAATAATACCCAGTTGTTAAGTGAGCCACACAGGACCTAATTACTAGTAACTAGACATGAACCAGCCTACTTTGATAAGCTTAG